TTTAGTCAATCAGTCAATCAATCAAAAAGAACGCACCCCCAGCCTAGAGAGAAGAAATAGAAGAGAGAAGAAAAGAGAGAAAAGTTTACAAGCCATCTCCAGCACCCGCTTCAACACCATCGGCCGGGTATGGGATATTCGGGTCGAAACCGAATCCATTCGGATCATCTGTGTTTAGGAACGAGTCAAAGTCGAAGTTCTCTAGGATATCCGGATTGTCCAAAGCGGTGAAGTCGAGGTTGTAATTGTTGGTCTATTGAATTTGTCCAGATTTAGCAAGGTAAGGAAGTCCAAAGGTGAAGGGGGATAAGGGAAGAGATTCAAGGCTTACATCTGAAAGATTCATGTCGAATGTCTGGTTAGGATCTTGTTGTTGTTGAATAAGATTTTGCGCAGCGGGTGCGGAGGTGGGTTGGGGAGCGTTTGTAGTTGGGTTCGTCGTGTTCTTGTTGAATGAGTTCGGATGGACAGGGGTGATAGGAGTAGGTGGCGTGGGAGTTGGGGGTGGTTCGGCTTCCGACGATGGAGTCGCGGCGGTATTCGACGCGTTGGCTGTAGACGGTTTCTTTGGAGGCCGCTGGTAAAAAGAAAAAAAAATAGCTTATTAGCTTAGCTTCAATTAAAACCTTAAAATATCACATCATGTATTCCTCACCTTTCTTGGATTTTCCTTTGGTTCCTTCTTCCCCTTGGGAGCTGGCTTATTGGACTGCTGTGGAGTTGGAGGAGCCGCCCCAGATTGGGGAGAGGAAGGTTGTGCCCGGCCTGCACCAGCGACGCCGGCTGGGGGCGCTTGAGGAGGTGGCATAGCGTTGCGCTCTTGTGGGGTTCCCGCAGGCTGGGGCGGCTGACCCACTTGCTGCTGTTGGATCATGGGTTGCCCTTGGGGTCCTTGGCCCTGCCAGTTGCCACTTGGCATTCGATTGCCAGCAGCGCCAGGCCCTTGCGGTCGCGACATGGCATCCATAGGTTGGGCCATTTGAGGGCCGCTGAATGCCGGGTTCGAACTTGGCGGTCTCATTCCATTCTGAACGACACCTTCTGGCATATTCTTGTTCATGAAAAATGCCCCGCCCATTTCTTGCGGCATCTGGCCACCAAAGTTCATTGACGCAGGAGAGCTGCGACCCTGGGCCATCGCATCACCAACAGAAGGAGAGCCAGGTAGACCAGACTGAGGCATCTTCGGGGTGCCTCTCTTCATCTGATCATTCGGGTTCGGGGATGCGCCGGCCCGACTGCCCTGCGGGGATGTGCCGGGGGGTAGGTTAGGCTGCCCAGGCATGCCTGGTTGACCATCGCCTCGGGTAATGCTGTCTTGCTCCTGACGAGCCATGAGCAGGCGACGTTTATTCTGCTGCTCCAGAAGCATCAGCTGCATTTGAGTGGG